TTCTATATTTTCTGTTCATTATCAAGTGATATTAACCAACTTTAACCTAAAACAGTACATAATCAAATTATTGTGTCAAAATTTAGAGAAAGGTTGCATACGTATTGCTTATGTATCTATTCTGTACAGAAGTTTTTCTCAAAGGCCTGATATTTTAGAATGTTTGCCGGGACATATCGGAATCAACAGTAGTGATAAATGTCCTCCTGGTTACTATGGAGAGGGATGTCAAGAAAAATGTGATTGTGATGTAGCTCTGTGTAATATTGCAAATGGTTGCACTGTTGTTACGCGGGTATGTTAAGGGTATACCCAGAGATATACTACTTGCCTCTACAATATGACGTCATAGTAAGCTGTATGACGTGAAGTTCAGAAATAATGATTTCTTAATATCTCTATATTTAAAGTTTAATTTCAGGTCCAAGAAGTGAATGGAATCATTCAAAAACATAATATGAACAAAATCATGTCTTTTTTGGGTGGTATAAACAGCTTAGTATTTATCACGGGGGCTAAATACCAAACCCATGACGTCATAACTATTGATCAAATATTTGCCGAGTGAAAATTAAACGTGACGAGAATTCATGTAAACAGATATACAAAATGGGAGTTTTCAAGCATGTACCATGAATGTTATGTGTGATTCATAAGGAATTAAAGATTAAGAATCAGGTACGCTGATATATTCTAATCATGTTTTCTTATAATGAACACAGACAGTGCTTTAAAATCCCGATCAGCCTTTCCTCTGTCGTTCTATACCAACAAAGTTGCAAAAGTTCAACACTACGCCGCATACTTTTAGGCATAATTTTTGTTTTTATCGAAAGCTTGTATTCTATAGTACTTGGAAAGTGCTGCTAGAATCGTATGATTAACATGAATTGATGACAATTCCTTGATCGTTTGTACAAAATTTAATAATTTTGGTAAGGTTTCATGCGAAACTTTGGAATATTTTTTTCTGTGTCAGGAGAGTAGGATTCTAGCAGCACTTTTCATGACCCAGTGATGTTTTTACATAATTATTTCCACAAAAAAAATTGAATTATCCCCGGGGTAGTGTTGAACTTTTTACTTTTTCATTAAGGCAATTTTTCTATTTATAGACGTCAGGTGATGACGTCGTAGTGGAGTGCTTCTTTTAGCCTAAAACGCAATGAGATCTATGCAATGGATAATTATAGTAAATGTTTTATGTATGGCTTTTCTGATTTATCAATGTTACATTTTACGAAAAAAGTCTAAATTCGCCGAAATATGATCTGGGTACTGCCTTAACATACCTGCGTACACGTATACTTTTGTTCTCCGAGAGTATGTTGGATCTGTTCACTCGCCCAGATAAATGTACATATTGCATCTCTTAAAGTAAAGGATAAAAATGTGTGCTCTTTATTTAGGTGAAGGGTAACTTATTTAGCATGAATACCGTCCTATCAAGAACCAAAATAAAAAAAAAAGAATATCAAGCTTCACAGGGCACATTAGTTATGATTTGTTGATGATTGTACGTTGTTTAGCGTCCCATTAAAAATTTTGGCACGTATATAGACTTCATCGTTTGCCGGTGTAGGGCTTCAAATTTAGACCTATACTCAGCACTAACGGCCAATGAGTAGTGAGGGTTCTTTAGCGTGCCAACGCCAACTGTGACACGGAACCCCCATTTTTAAGGTCATATCCGAAAGTCCATTGGCTTTCACTTCTAATGCCGGGTGCTTGGCGAAAGAACAGTCACTACCTATGTTTAGATCTTTGACGAGGCGTCGGGTACACTGTAGGAGAATCGAATCCGGTAACTTCCGATCACGAATCAGACGCCCCACCACTAGGCTAACGCGACCAATCAAAAGTAATGAAAAGATTTAGTTTACAATTAGTACTCATGGTCATTCAAATTCAGAATAAAATTGTGCAGTATAACTTGACAGAAAACTCTATAAGGGAAAGTATATTGATAATTCAAAAAGCAGACTTCCGTGAGATCGCGAAAAAGCTTTAACTCTTTGAATTCCCGAAAATATAAATTTTTTTTTCAACAATTTTATAACAAGAATAAATAAGATTATATGATTTATTGTATTGTCAGACATTAAACTAAATTCTATTAGGCTTAACGCGTTCATTTAATTTTCCCAAGACGTAAAAATGTAATTCGATGGAATATTTGGTATCGAGGAGTTTCTTAGCCGCAACAACACTCCCAAACAGTTTGTCAATTTAATTATAACGACTCATTTCTCGTGACATGAGACGTAGATGATATTCCTGTCAATATTAAAAATAAAGATAATTGGAGGTATAATTCATTGTTAAATTTTATTTGTTCTTGAAATTGAAACAAACAATTTACTTAATTGATTTTGATTTAAACTAAAACAATTCCATTTTTTGAGTTGTTATAAAAATGGTTAGGAAGTGAAATCTGGCTGAAGCCACATTAGAATTAGATGTAAATATAGAACTTTTTGATTACGATATTTTATAATTATTATAATTAATATTCCTTAACAGAAAGATCCCAGCTTTTTCTAAATGAGGAAATCCAAAAATCTGTATTTATATATTAATATCCTGTAAATATGAATACATGTATATAGATCCCGGAAAATATTTTACCGGAACTAGATCAGGAGAAGTGTTTTGCGATGTATTGTGCTTTCTTTAAGAGTGCATTCCAACTCTATCCAAAGATATTTACAATATGTATGACATTAAAATTTTTGTAACTCTGTTTTCTTAAACATTATTACAAAAATGCCTATATTTACTGTATTATTTTTTTTACCTTGAAGGCAACCAGAAACCAAAGGAATATAAAAGAAAATATTTTAGCATTTTTCTATTTTGTAATTTATTCATTCACATAGGCGTCGGAACAGGGGGGGGGGGGGGCTTACCCCCCTCCCCTACTTTTTTTTCAAAGATAGGCATAATATAGGCATGGGAAATTGGGGCTTACCTTTTTCCTTTGGTTTAGCCCTCCCCCACCGCCACCCCCCCCCCCCCCACACACACACACACTTTCAATTAGCCACCCCACTTTCAATTTGCTTCCGACGCCTATGATTTATTTATTATTTTTAATTATTTTTTTGAAAGTTTTTTGTGTATACGGTGAAAAAAACTCTACTAAGAAGAAAAGAAAGCCACAAATGTTGCTTGAATATGGACAGGTTTTATGCTTAAAGAAGGGAAGGGGGGGGGTGAAAAGATCTAACTGGCTGATAGGAAAATCATTGCATCATATCTATGGGCATTGGTCCTTGGTCCGTATTAAATATTATACATGTATTTTAAGTCATCAATACTAAAAAAACTTTTTTTTTACAGACAGTTATCGTGAAATCAAAGAATGGACAGACACTTAGTTAGCTGTTTATTTATCACCGCCTCATCTCAACAAACTTGATTATACTTCAATAAATTGGTATTCAGTGTAGTATGTCCACGATGAAACCGTTAGGGCGAGAGCAGTTCTATTTTCTTTTGTTTAATAATTGATATCGCATGGCGTATTATTAATGAAGTTATTTCTGTAGGTAAACCATGAATAGTGACAATGTGATTTACTGGCTCTGTACTTCATATCACAGGCACTTGGGGTATGGACCCCCCCCCCTTTCCATTTTTTTTCTTTTTAAATCTGGGGTCGAGTCACCTTTTTCCTATTTTTGTATTCTAATATGCACTGTATGTTATCAATAATGTAACTCTTTTGTCTCTATAAGCTGTTTTTAAATATATCGTTTTCGACTGATACATAAAAAGAGAGAAGGCTTGCAACTCTTTTCTCATCGTCTGCCTCACCTTGCTTAAACTTCGCCTGATTATTTATCGAAAGCATAAGAAAACATGGAATATGCATACATCAATAAATTCGTTATACATTCTTCTTCCTTTTCATATTTCCATTTAATTTTTATGTGTCCCCGATTTGTAAATATTTCGATTAAATCACCCGCATCTAGGGTAAATTTTGTTGATGTGCACCAGCTGGGACGGAAGTGCAATAACGGTAACTCTAACTTTATAAATGTTCTGCATTTAAAAAAAATTCCAAGCTTTGCCATAACAATATTGTGAAATTTGGTTGTCTAGGTTATCTGTTAAAAGTTAATCTTCATCCATTAAAATTTGATAGTTACAGTTATCTTGTTATTCACAGAACTTACCGTTACATGTTATATGAAGAGAAAATTCGGGATTTATTCCTTCTCGCATTTAATGTTCCGAATGACATTACACGTAATGATGATACCCGAAAATACCGGGCACTTCCGTCCCAGCTGGTGCACATCAACAAAATTTACCCTAGATGCGGGTGATTTAATCAAAATATTTACAAATCGGGGACACATAAAAATTAAATGGAAATATGAAAAGGAAGAAGAATGTATAACGAATTTATTGATGTATGCATATTCCATGTTTTCTTATGCTTTCGATAAATAATCAGGCGAAGTTTAAGCGAGGTGAGGCAGACGATGAGAAAAGAGTTGCAAGCCTTCTCTCTTTTTATGTATCAGTCGAAAACGATATATTTAAAAACAGCTTATAGAGACAAAAGAGTTACATTATTGATAACATACAGTGCATATTAGAATACAAAAATAGGAAAAAGGTGACTCGACCCCAGATTTAAAAAGAAAAAAAAATGGAAAAGGGGGGGGGGGGTCCATACCCCAAGTGCCTGTGCTTCATATTGCTTTTTTGAACTGTCGCATTTTACATACCAGTGTTACTGTTTAAATGTACACTTTCGTAGGTTTCAAATTAAATTTGCAAGTTTCAGCTTGCTTCAGTTTGGCATTTAAATTACACGTATAAGTGTTTTGATCATTTTTTTTTTCACTCAAGTTTTGAGCAGAATTTAATTGTATATGCATGCTCTCGAAATACTTGTAATTTACAGTGATTCTTTTAAACTGCAGGTGTTATTTTAAATCAGACTGGGCAGTCTCTTTGTCATGTATTGTTTTGACGTTTAATTGGCAAAAGAAAGGGGAAAAAATAGAGGAAATTCTTTTTTTTTTCTGTCCAAGGTATGTATAGAATTACATGTATGTATTTTGTGACTGTTCTTTCTGTAATAGAATCGTTTTCATCTTATTGTTGGTATAAAACAAACCAACCATTCTGTTTAAAAAAGGCTAAAACATGATAAACATGTACAAACTTGAAAACAAATGCCTTTTGTGTATCCACTGAAATTGTAACTGGGAGTAGTATTTTTAAACGTACCCATGTAAGCAAATATCAATATTTACCCAGTCAATCAATGGGCTCAGCCATCCATTCTGCTTTGTTTAAACTATTGCATTTCACATTCCTTTGTTGTACATGTACCCTATGTTAAAGTATTGATAAGAAAATCATTTTCAGCCACCTTGGATCGATGAAAAGTGTTACAATAACTTTTTTTTCGAATCAATTCTACAATGGTTTTATTTGAAATATATATATATAGTGGACCGGCATAGCCTCTGCTGACTCATGCATCTTACAGGGGTATATTGTTACGAATTTCTCGAATAATTCTTCATCAGGTGCGAAACATATTTTAACAAGATGTTATTTTTTTTTTAAGTTTTCTTCTTGAAGGAACGAAAAATAAATTTTAAAAAAATGGATTACTATTATCCTGTTGAAGGTAAGTATTCTTACAAAAAAAACCCCCAACATTTTAACAAATTGATTACTCTTGTTTATTTTTTTCCTAAAAACATTCATAAATAAACAAATTTAATTTCATGCTATTTTGTACACAAAGCGTGGAAGGTGTATTTACGTGGCTGTAATGCTATAACGACAAATCGAGTAAACTAAACTTTATTAAGATCAAGAAAACGTACATGTAGGGGATTACAAGAATCATTTGATCGAATATTTGTTGACATATTTTACCCGACTTAACAACAGGTTGATAATTGAAAAAGAAAACTTTTTAAAAACGTAATTGCGGATTTTCTGTTTTTCATATATTCTAAAAAAATACAGAAAATCCCTCTCGACATTCTGTTTTGGCAATGACAGGATCATATCTACATTGAAGGATAACTAAAGGGTAAAATCTAAAGTTCCCAGTTAAATGTCATGCTTGAACTGATATTTTATCAAAGCATCAAAATAAAAGTTAAAATGTTACTGTAAAGAAAAGAAATACGGGAAAAATATCGCATTTGAGTTTTGATACGGTGATGAGAAGGGTTTCTTAAAATTGAGCATTTCTGATATGTTATTTATGTTCGGATTTATCTTTGTTGAATTCTGCGTTAAAATTATTATTGACAGGGTATATGTATTCAATTAATTCCACAGGGGCTTGACTAGGGTATGTGTACAGAATGTGACAAGTTGAGCATGTAAGTGACATTAATTTGTTTCACAAGATAGGTATATATAAAACTTTTTTTTTTCTATAAATCATATAATGAAACTTACTTAAAAGATATTTCTAACAAAAGTTACTGAAAAAAGGGTATACAAAATATTTTGAACCTTATATTTTAATTTCGTACAAGTTAAACCATGAACCATGCATTCATTGAAATGCACAGTTGTCTTAAAATTGATAATTATTTCATGTATCTGAAATATTGGTTTAAATCAAAACAGATGCTATTTTACCTTATCTTATTTAAAGATGTGCATTGCTATTTTTACTTTTAAAAATGCGACTTTTTTCTCCTTCATTTTTGATGGGACTTTAACGTCAATCGGTATGCTCTGAGATGAATTGTTTATTTACAATTGAAGGACTTCAATAACCTGCCAACCGATTTAAGGTAGTACGTAGTTAAGCATGGAAAGAGAATTCCACACTTTATAGATCTTTTGTAATTCTAAATTCTGTATTTCTGCAACAGCAATTTCAGACATAAGTCTTACCGCCCTCCCTTAAACACCAACCCCCATACGCTGATTTAACATTTAATTGCCAGAAACGAACAAATCAATGAATTATGAAAATATGTTGAAAAATACTTCTTTTATTAGTTGTCACAAAGAATCAATATGGAAACGAAGATAATTGCATTTTTTTATTCGTTTTGTTATGTTTATATCTTTATTTTTCGTTTTCTTCCCTTTTTTGGATCGCAATTTTAAGTCAATTACCTCGTGGCCATGCTTGCTTTGGGATTTTTTCTCATCAGCGGGCTAATTTATGTGGTGATTAATTATTCAACCATTTAAAACAATCACTTAAGCATGCTGTCTCTACGATTGACTATCTCAAGCTTATAGTAACATCATGCATGTATTTTAACAGTATAAATAGTATTGTATGCTTTGTTTAAAATACCTTATGAACAAAGAACTACGAACGCTAACTCTTGATTCCCTTCTACATTTTAAACCAATTTTAATTCAAAACAAATGGTAATTTGATCATCAAAACCTGTTTAAATGCATAGGAATGTTCATAAGTAATTGATTAATAATTCTAAAAACAGTGTCAAAAAGTTAACTGCTCTTATTTACAATTCTTTTCATGAGGGTGAAGAAAATATTATTCATTGACATCAGACTTTTTGACATTACCAGATTTTCAGATATTCAGGAAAATGGATAAATGACCCACAAATCTTTCCATATGTTTAACATATGTAAAATTTAATATATTTGATTGATAAGTACCTTTCTTGAATGTAATCTCATTTGAAATTGGCTAAAAATAACCACTATTTGCTGTTTTTGGCTGTTAACATACTGTTCTCTCCCGCCCCCACTCCCCCGTGACAAAACAAAAGCTATGGTATGAATTTGTGAAATGACAATTCATATTACCTGTGTGAAGGAATTTTCATTTCACGGGTAGTGAAAAACGCTAAGTTCTACTAAAATTGTTGAGATGTCTCTCTTTGTTTTTCCCCAAAAAGTTATGTTTTATGAAAATTCACATATATATCTACATAAATATGAAAAATCAATTAAATATGAAATATTGAAAATTGACTTGGAGGTAGGCGGCAGAACAATACTATTGTTCGCGGTTCTTAATACAAATAAGAGTGTTAAAGTCTTACCCTTAGAAATTATGATTCGGACAAAATTGATTTTGATCTACATGAAGATGCTTGCATATAAATATATTAATTATTGCCTTTTCGTTCTTCAAAAAGAATATATTTTTTTTTAAGATTTCCTTCCCCATGTATCACAAGATACATCTGGTTAATCTTACATGCAAAGTCAAGTGATATGAATAAGCATGCATTTGGACTGCCTGACGGTGCATGAAGACATTATTTAAACAGAGCTATATTTTGAGCAATATAAACCAGAATTCTTTCCTATGTTTTCTTGCCTAGTGGCTTTTAAAGATTTTTAAAATAGGCATATCTTACTTTTTCCTTTTACTGGTTATATCTTCTTGAAAGTGAAAACTCTCAATCATATTAGTAATCTAAATATAACTCAATGATGCTTTATGCTAGGTTAAGATAATAATCGCCAAGTGGTTCTGATGAAGAGATAATAAGTGTGAAAAGTTTACAGACAGACCGACATATACACATATACTTTTGTCAATAAGCTTACTAGAACCTTTGGCTAATGTGGGCAACAGTGTATGATACTTATGAATTGTCAAAGCTTGCAAATGATGAAAAAAAAAAAACATTGATATGTATCCAAAGGTAAATGTAAGAATAAATAAAGAAACAAGGTGTGTTTGTGAAACACTGATGCCCCCGTCTTGCAGCAAATGACAAAGTTTCTCAAATACAATTTAAACTCCAAGGACAAGGCCAAGGGAATAAAATGTTGGTGCCCAAATATAAGTCTTGTCACAAGGAATAAGCCTCCGAAATATGCAATCCTTAACACAACCATTTAAAAAATATAGCCAAGGTTAAAGTTTTTCAAAAGAAGGTCAAACTCATAGGGCAAGGCCAAAGATTCAAATGTATTGATACCCGAGGGAAGAATTTGTCCCAAGAAATACACATGATAAATATGAAAACCTTAGCACCAACTGTTCAAAAGTTATTGCCAAGGTTAAGTATTTCATACTTTGGTCAAAGGACAAAATTATTTGTACCCAAGGGTAGATCTTGTAAAAAGGAATACACCTGTGAAATATGATAGCCCTTTTACTAAAAGTTCAAAAGTTATGACTAAGGTGAAAGTTTTTAAATTAAATTAAACTGAAAGTTCTACATGTAGGTCAAAGGGAAAAAATTGATGGTATCAAAGGTAAGGTCTTGTGATAGGAAATACAGACGTATGATTTGAAAGCCTAAATTAAAAACCATTCAAAATTTATGGCCTAGTGAAAGTATTTTAAATGTGGGTCAAACTCCAAGGTTAAGGTCAAGAAGTCAAATATGTTAGTACCCAAAGAAAGGTCTTGTTACAAGGAATACAGGTATGAAATATAAAATACCCAACCAATCAGAAGTCATGGGCAAAGTTAAATGTTTTTGTAGACAGACAGCTAGACAGACGGACTGACAGGGCAAAGCACTTTATGTTCCCGAATATCCGATTACGGGGCAAAAAAGGTAATTTAACGACTTCTGGGCATCGATGTTTAAGATACTAAGTTTTAACTGTAAATAATTTATTGACAAGGCAAATAAAACTCCTACAAGGACAGGGTTCATTAAACTGCTACGTAGTGAGTTCTTTTGACATGACCTGCGACACATACTTATCATAAATTCAGTAGAATTCAGTGTAATTTGTTATTCTCAGGTGAAATTGCTTCATGACATATGTAAAATTTAAACATATAGCAATTAAAATACCTATGTCTTTTTTCTAGGCTATAACATCCAGGAGTCCTTCCTGTCATGCATCAAGGGACACCATACTGTCTGTTTCGAACTGCCCACGAGCAGTGAAGGATTGGCAAATAGCTGTTGAAAGAAAAAAATGCTCATCATTTGCCAGGAGATGTAGTGATCCAGACAAACTCGTGTACCACTGTGTAATTAATCCATTTCACAACGAATCTCTTGAAGTCTGTGCTTACCCGAAGATAATACATCATGGTAATTATGATACATTCCAATAATCTCTGACTAATTAGAGATCACAAAAAGAAAATAAATCAAAAGGAAAAAAAAAGCCACAAGAATAGCTCATATATCTCAATCCTTCCTATTGCTAAGAGTATTGTTTGAAATGTATTTGTAATGTTTTTGACCTACATGACCGTGGGGAAAGAAAAACATCTGCAATCATTACTCAACAAGGAAGGTTAGATTGATCAAAAATCACAGAATTTTTTTTCGTGGGATAACCATTGTCTTCATTGAGCATTTTATTTTCCTTACCTTGAGCATGTCTACAATGGCTTAATAATAATTACTTTCACTTGATACCTATACTAAAACTTTTGCTCTATTAGATCATTGTTCTCATATGTTGATTATATATTGCAGGATTTTGTGCAGAGTATAGTTACAGCGCAAACATAATACAACAAAGTATAGGAACAAATTGCACCCACCTCAACAATAATTCGTGTCCTGTTAGCTACAATTCAACAGACGCATATAAATGTAAGTTAAAATACTTTCACCTAACGTTCATGTAAAAAGTATGTTAATTTCAACTCTGATTCTTGTTCTTAAAGTTTTAAATTTCTTTCAAATATATATGAAATTAGTTTGTTTTCAAAAACTACAACATTTTGTTTTATTCAATGTCTACAATTTCTAAAATAAAATCAGTTTGAAATTTATGTACGCTATTTTAGGATATTTTTTTGCTCTCTCTTTCTTCATTCCTCCTAACTTGAGAGAAACATGAAGGTACAATTTTCACAGTTTGCCCATACTTTATATGTTTTCTTAAAACGTAATGTAATATGTAACAAATTGAGCGTATAAATTACAACTTTTATTGATTTAATTGTGCACAGTGCACATTAATTGTGCACAGTGCACTATTGGTATATAGATATTGTGTTATGAATTATTATTGACACAATCAGCTTGCACAGCAAAGACCACTTCGCGGGTATGTTAAGGCTACACCCAGAGATATCCTACTTGCCTTCACAATATGACGTCATAGTAAGCTGTATGACGTGAACTATAGAAATAATTATTTCTTAATATCTATCTTTAAAGTTTAATTTCAGGTCCAAGAAAAGAATGGAATCATTCAAAACATAACATAAACTAAATCTTGTCGTTTTTGGGTGGTATAAATAGCTAATTATTTAGCACGGGGGTTAAATACCAAACCCATGACGTCATAACCATTGATCAAATATTTGCCGAGTGAAATGAGAATTCATGTAAACAAATATATGAAATGGGAGTTTTAAGGCATATACCATGAATGTTATGTGTGATTCATAAGGAATTAAAGATTAAGAATCGGGTACGCTGATATATTCTTATCATGTTTTCTTATAATGAACATAGTCAGTGCTTTGAAATCCCGATCAGCCGTTCCTCTGTCGTTCTATAACAACAAAGATGCAAAAGTTCAACACTACGCCGCATACTTTGAAATATAATTTTTGTTTGTATCGAAAGCTTGTATTCTATAGTACTTGGAAAGTGCTGCTAGAATCGTGTGGTTAACATGAATTGATAAAAATTCCTTGATCGTATGTATAAAATGTAAAAATTTTGGTAAGGTTTCATGCGAAACTTTGGAATATTTTTTTTTCTGTGTCAGGAGAGTAGGATTCTAGCAGCACTTTTCATGGCCCAGTGATGTTTTTACATAATTATTTTCACTAAAAGAAATCTCCGGGGTAGTGTTGAACTTTTCACTTTTTCATTAAGGCAATTTTTCTATTTATAGACGTCACGTAATGACGTCGTAGTGGAGTGCTTCTTTTAGCCTAAGACTCAATGACGTCTATACAATGGATAATAATTGTAAATGTTTTTTCTATGGTTTTCCGATTTATCAATGTGACATTTTACGAAAAAAGTCTAAATTCGCCGAAATATGATCTGGGTACTGCCTTAACATACCTGCGTTGCACTTACTATTAAGTGTGCACCTGTTTACAAACTCTGGGGGATTGCTCACAATAAGGAGACAATCTTCATTTGACGGCAATTAGATTTTATGAACATTTACACTTTGCAATTAGACTTTCTGCAAGACTGCAACTATCTAATTAAATGAAGAATATGCATGATACAAAATATCCGTACAAGCCGACATTGCCCTATCATATTAGGAGATAAGAAATAGCGTCAGTGAGGACAGGGTGATATCGATATCAATGAAGTGACATTCTTACTTACAATGTACTTATTGCTATATATATTAAATATTTGATTTGCATTTGATGCAACCTCTTGCACAAAAGATTTGCGAACTGTGCATTAATAGCTTTTTAATTATTTTTCTTTTTTTGAATTATGACTACCGGGGGTAGGTTTCGCCGCAGTTTTATTATGGAATATTTAGAAAAAAAACTATTAAAATCTTGTTCATAAGAACAGCAAAACCATGACAATTTATTTTATGAGAAAGCATCCTCTGGTAGTCTACATTCAAGCTTGTTTAAATCACGAGCCTCATTGTAAGACTGGGCAACAATTGGCAATCAAAGTTATGCAAAGAAATACACGGAAACAATTTTTAAAATTTTTTTTTTTCTCTAAAAAGTAAAGTAATATATATGGAAAATATTCTGATGAAAAAATAGCAAGGTAATAGTAATCCAGATTAGTGCGTTGGCCCATGGGCTGTTTGTTATCGTAATATGGGAGTTTATTATATTCATTAATATCCTTTGAAATATTAAGGATGGCTCAACTTACCTTCTGTATTTGACACAATGAAAATAAAGTTAATATCTCTACCTAATTCCTTAATTCAAGTTTTGATTGAGAAATTTTTCTGAATTAATTTCTTGGTGGACAAAATTAACTTGAATGGTAGGAAGTTTATCAAATTGATCTTATCGAAGTATGATGACAATGAAATCTACATTGATAATTCTTGTATCATCTTTTGAAATATTTGAAAATGTAATATTGTTTGTTAAGTATTTTTCCGTGCTTTATAATTTCATAACTACCAAATTAATTGACTCTTTTACATGATGAATATAAAAACAACATCTAGACACCAACGGGAACAATATTTTCTGTTCATACATGTATTTATTTAAATAAGGTTAGATACATGCTGATAGAACTGTTTTAAAATCTGAAAATTAAATAAAATTAGTAAGCAATATCAGCAAAATATAAAAACTATTAATAAAAAACAAATTAGCTCAATATCATTCGGCTCCCGAAAATTAGTATGAATATATTTAATTTGCATTTGATATTTATAGATACTGCATGTTACGACTTGGTGAAAAAAATTCCAAAAAATAAAGAAACCTCAATGATGTCTACGCCTGTTTCAACTATAACAACCAGTGACGAGTTTTTGTAAGTGTTCAGAGACAATGATTGTGCATTTTTATTGTATGTTTTCAAATGATTTTAATACCAGTACTCTGATAAATCTTATTGCATAATGTTGTTTTTTTTCTATTTCGTTCTTTAAAGTTTCTTATCAATTATCACCTCATGATTTAGAGGTATTCCAAAATATTTTTTTTTTCTTTTATAAGAATAGCCTAGCTCTGTTGACGTGAAATAAGTTTCTGGATGCTTTGTTTGCTTAAGGGCTTAAAAGGTGTTGTCGAAAAAAATAATCATGTCAGTTAAACTCCCCTTACATAAGTATAAGATGTAGCAAATAAATATATTTTTTTAAATAATTGATTGTATTTCGTTCTTGTATTATATCATATGGTACATTGTAATATGATAAGGGTATCTTTAGTCTATCTGCACATCAAGACAGTAATTCTGATAATGCCAAAATACATAATTAAAGTGAGGATGCAAACATACATCTGAATTTAGTGCTAATGTGTCCTATATCTAATTTTATATATCCATTTTGTAAATAATAATATCAACTCTCCTAAATTAAATTAATTCCAAAATGAATTCTCTGCATAAGCCTAACAACGATCAACCTTGCATTGTTAACACAAGATGGGCACATTGCTTTGATTGCCCTAAGTAATGAAAAATTCAAAACTGAAGGTGTATACATCCTACAATTATCAAACTATCAAAGCTGTTTATTGCATCTGGTATGCATATCAGTATGATAAGTTATTTGTTGTAAATGACCCTAATATGACTGAGTAATATAAAATTAGCATTTATAAATACAAGAAGTGTTTAAGAAACACTGATGACCCAGTATAGCAGCTCATGGCGAAGCTTAAAGTTTCTCAAATGCAAGTCAAACTCCAAGGTCAAAAGATCAAAAATGCTGTTACCCAAAGAAAGGACTTGTGTCAATAGATATACCTGGTCAATATGAAAGTCCAAATCCCAACTTTTCGACAGTTATAGTCAAAGTTAATGTTTTATAAAAGAGAATTAAACTCCAAGGTCAAGATCAGAGGGTCAAAATTAATGACGCGCCGAGAATAACCTTGTCAAAACAAATAAATATCAAAATGTAAAAGCTCTAGCACCATCTGTTCAAATGTTATAGCCAAGTTTGAAGCTTTCCAGAAGTAGGTTCAACTTTAAGGTCAAGGTCAAAAGATTAAAAATATTTACACAATGAAAGAGTCTTGTCACGATAAATACTCATGAGAAATGGGAAAGGCCTAGCACCAACTGTTCAAAAGTTATTGCCAACTTTAAAATTTGGTAATTTTTCGCAAAAGTGGTCAAACTCCATCGTCAATGTCAGAAGATCAACTATGTTGGTACAAAAAGGAAGGAATTTTCACAGAAAATACACTTATGAAATATGAAAGCATTCAAAAGTTATGGTCAGGTTTAATGTTTTAAAAAGTGAGTCAAACTCCAAGGTAAAGGTAACAATATCAAAATTAATGGTACACAGAGAAAGACTTTGTCATAAGAAATAAACATGAAAAGTACAAAAGCCCTAGCTTCAACTGTTCAAAAGTTATGGCCAAGGTTAATCAAGGTTTAGAACCAAGTGGTTCTTCAGAAAAGTTTTTTAAAGGTTTTTCTTATATATTTCAATTTTACACTTGGATTCCCCATTGTAGCCCTGCCCTACCCCCGGGGGTCCTGATTTGAACAATTTAGAATCTACACTATCCCAGAATGCTTCCACATAAGTTTCAGCCTTTCTGACCCAGTGGTCTTTGAGAAGAAGATTTTTAAAGATTTTTTCTATATATTTCAATGTAAAAATTGAATTCCCTATTGTGACCCCTTCCCCAACCCCGGGGGTCATGATTTGAACAATTTAGAATCTACACTACACCAGGATGCTTCCACATAAGTTTCAGCTTTTTTGGCCCAGTGGTTCTTAAGAAGAAGAATTTTTAATTACCCAACCCTATTTTTGTCTTTTCCTGATTATCTCCCCTTGTAAGGGGACTTGGTCCTTTATTTTAACAATTTAACTCCCCTTTACCCAGGGATACTTTGTACCAACCTTGGTTAAAATTTGCATATGGAAATTAGTTAACTTAAAAGGTAGAAATGTTATGACAATACTTCAACTGAAAGTCATATGAATGTGTACTGGTCTTAAAACTTCCAATTCAGACAAAAGTTTCAATTTTTATCATATTACTTTTTGAATTAATTAGATTTTTGTAATAAAGCAGGTAATATACTACATTTCAGAAGTAAACTTTTCCTTTTTGTAAAAAATTATATTTTCCAAAAATTTGCCATTTAAGATCGAAAGTCAAAGAAGAAACAAGCAGAAGTGCTTCTCCTGGAAGTGGCATCAACAGTTATCAACCTTTGAAACTGACTTTCTTGCTGCATCTTTCAATAGCAGTTACATTATATTGATACTAAATCTGAATAGTATTTTCTTTCTTCATAAATATAGTAGTAAAGTATGAATCCTTAATCATAGAAAACTCAACTCATTGTTAGTTTTTCCTAGTCTCCTTACTTGATACATTAATTATTGTAAGAGTAATATTCCTTAATTTTACAATGGCAAAGCCAATTGGATTGCACATAAGAAGTAAACTTTTGTAAAAAAAAAAAATGCTGTTTATAAGTATAATAGCCAACATTATTAAAACTTCAAAAATTAAAAGATTAGTTTATGTGAAATATTTGACATGGTAAGAAGGATAACTCTGATTTCATTTTCACTCCTGTTACTTGATCATTTTTTATATCCCCAATTGAACAGAAATTGATTTTTTGCACACACCTTCATTTTCTAGTGTCCATTGCTTCGTCAACATACATCCATCAGTCAAATTCATTAATCTTTTTTGTTCTTTCCATATCATCCCAAAACCCTTTATTTCCACCTTCTTGCCAAGTCATATTAGGAATTATTGTTTGAATTTGGAATTGTCATTTATGTCATTTAAGTGTAAATATATGTAACTATTTCAAATTTAAGTGTTTTAAGAAGATGTGTGGACAAGGTGACTGTTTTAACCTACCTACAGGTACAAATGCATTTTACTTTGCTTAACGAAATGCACTTAATTTCAGGAATATGTATTTTTAAACTTTTTTTTAACAATCCCTGTCATTTTTTCAAAATACTATTTTGTATGTGTTAAGCATGAATTTTGTATGGTCGCCTATAAAATGCAATAAATTACTGTTTTCAATTCATATATTCCTTATTTTGTTTTAACAAGTTTAAAGAAAAAGACTCCTTGTATTTATCAAGTAGAAAAACCAACAATATCAGATGAATATTTACAAAAACTACATTTGTTTCACATTTTGAATACAAATACAAAAAATAAAATATTCCATTAATTTTGATCTACATACAAAACAAATATCCAAAAGTTTAGTATAAACTGTAGTTGTATATTAATAGCAGTGATGTTTGATTATAAAGAAAACTGTAAATCTTCCTTACAATATTCTCATGTAAGAAAAGAAATCAAACATGGATTCGAGGTAAAGGCAATAAATTTTACAGATAATTTTAAATTGTACCCCTCCAGAATGAATGTGAAAATTCAGAAAAATATGCATATCATAATTTCTGAGACCATCTACAATGTTGCACCGACTCTTGAAGGCAGCTGTTGTCATTGAAACTTATAACTAATAATCCTTATAATTTGCAAAAAAAAGGTTCGTTGGAGTTTGCTGTTTACCAATGAGAAAAACTTCACATTAAAGGGCCAAAAGAATTGCGAAGTGCAAGTGGAAGAAAGATAACTGAACTGTATTAAACGACAACTCCCTCTGCAATATATTGACACAATGTTTATTGTTATGACATTCTCTTTATAAAACCAGTACAAGGATTGGAGATTTTTTTTTCTTTTAGATTTTCATAGCTCTTACTGTGTGTACCTTTTTATCCGAATATTGTTTAAAATAATGATGCTATAATATTGCAAATAATCTAACTTTGATTCTCCTCAGTCATGTTCACTTCAACTTCATATCTATGATGTCTAACCTTTTATTAGAAATCACTTTTATTTAAAAGCTTTAATTGCACGTTAGAAGAGGAGAATATTCTCACGCCCTTTTCAAAAGAAATTGCCAAATATTTAAATTTCATTATTAAAATTAAAAAAATGAAGGGATATAAAACGCAAGTATTGAGAAAACCAGTTATTTTAACTAGCTTTGAGAAATGAACATTGTTAACTACATAAATGGTGTAACGGTTCCTTAACTGCTTCCTGCTACACACTGAAATATTAAATGGCAGATTTTACCCCGGAAAATGCTTAAATGTTTTCAATGTGCATATAAAGTTTATAAGTACCTAAAAGAAATTTGCATAATGTTTATCAGAGATTTATTTTTTTAGAGCGTGTTTAGATCTATTTTAGTGTTTCCTGTTGAATTTTATATTTCGAAAAAAAAAATTAAAGAGAAAATACAGTGTTTTTTTATGAAAACACTGTCAAATACTCAAACAATTGAGAGAAAAAACACTCATTTTTTTCTGCTTTTATCGTATGAAATAAAGTATTAAAGTGTGTACTCTTTATTTAGTAGGAGAAAAGGTAATCAATTTGATTTAATACATGAATTCCGTCCTATCAAAAATCATTATGCAAAACAATTTTTTAGCTTCACGAGGAATAAAAGTGATGAAAAGACAGGACAAAGTATGAGTTCTAGAAGTCATTCAAGTTTTTTAATATAACTGGACAGAAATGTTTTAAAGAAACCTTCTAATAAATTAAAACCAAGACTTTCCGGGCGGTGTTCTAAAAAGTTTTAAATCTTTGAAGTCTTGAATCTAAAATAAACTTCTCATTCCAATTTTTAATGAAGTTTTATGCATCGTAACTGAATTCAAAAACTGTAAATGAAATCAATCATATAATAAAATGCTATGATGAATTGGGGTTTTCTGGTAAAATCGTCGACAAGTTGTCTAGAATGAAAAAATCATCAACACTGTGTTCTTATTCTTTTTAACAATTCCATCGAACATTTTGTCATCAATATACGATATACGTATATAGCTAATTTCAAGTAGGTATATGAATTGTTCCAAAAGAACAAAACATTGGATTTTATGTTTTATTTGCTTTCTCCTTACGGCCCATGGATGATAACTTCAAAGCGTCTGAAGCAATGTCAAGTTCCATTTTTGCTACAAAACACCGGCTTACATAAAATATCGTTTAAATGCGGAAATTTCAATGATGCACTCTTTCGAATTATATCCACCCACTCCCCAAGAAAAGAAAAAAAAAACATGCGATGGGCCAATCTCGCACATCCCGGATAATTTCTGAAGATTTGTAGATTCTGAAGTTATTGACCGTACTATCACTACATTCAACTAAATAGCCACTTTTTCGACGGTCTGCAGTGATAGCGTCTTACGGTAATGCCAGTAGTGTTCGTTTTGTATATTTTATTCTACCTGAGGACTCGATTCAAAAGACTCCACATTAAAAACACACATGACACTGGTTTTAGAAAGATCTAGTGATAGTTTTATTTTTGTTATGTTCTGTTATAATTTAAAGTCTGTAAATTAGGCTACATATATAAAACTGAACTGCACTTCGATGTGGCATAACGTAATCAAATGTCGCCATTTTTCTTATGTTGTTTTTGCCACTTTCTCATTTCAAATGATCGAGAAACTGCCGAAAATTAAGCATATGCCTTGAAATTTTCAAATAACGATGCAATATATAGTTGACTTAAAATATGATAATATTCACCCCAACCTCATCTTTTAGTATATAGTACTTTTATATGGAATTCATACTCGCGTATATTTTATGACATTCCGATTATTTGGTCTTGCACCGTGCATAGGACCATATTAATGCATATTAACGTTAATATAATCCTTATTGTTGTCTTTATTTTATCAACAAAAATGAAAATATATATTCAAATATGATAAATATAGGATCTCCCATGATTTGTAGTTGGATATGATTTTTATCCAACGAGTTGTGTGTTTTTTATCCCCTAGCCTTGGCGAGGGAATAAAAACACACAACGAGTTGGATAAAAGTCATATCTAACTACAAATCATGGGAGATTCTTTTTATCCCATGTTTAATACTTCACAACCAATGTTTTACACTGTTTTATATAGGACTCCACTTTATTTTACTTCATCACGCTAACGAAAAAATCTTTGTGACGTCACAACTGCACTTAACTGTGGGACATGAAAAAAATATCCAATGAGTCATATTCACGGGATAAAGGAGTAAACATGGGATAAATAAATATACGGTATATGATGTAGACGCTTTTTTTCAATAAAAACGTGTTGTCCACGATTATTGTATTGTGAATGTAAATAATAATTACAGCACTGGGTCGCCTTATTGCGATTCTATCGTGTATACTCTTGTAAATACATGCATGTGCATGTAAAAGTGTGACACTATGAGATAAAAGATTTCAGATATACATTGTGCCTATTAAAAAAAAAAACAAACGTCTTTCCATCACAGTGAAAACAACATATGACGTTACATATATGAAATCTCAATTATCAATATTTAGTATATGTCTTTTCCTTTAGTTATCGATATTGGTACAAAAATTAAAAAAGGGATATAGGGCTGTAATAATCAACTCTACATATTTTGTATGTGTGATAAATGCATGTGTTGTATTGCGCCAAGAAAATCTTTTGACCTAAATTTCTTGAATACGTCTAACTTGTTCTCCGTGTACGACGGGTAATGCTAGGGAGTCGTCAAAAAGTCTGAGGGAATTTATTTTCATCTCTTCTGATGTGGGAAGACGGTAGTTACGTTTATTCCGGTATTTGTAATTGTACTCATAGATAATGTAGATCACAAGAAAAACAGCAATAGCTAAGCTTTGTATTGGTCATTAGTCCGGCTACCATATCTGTTTGCCCTATTTCGAATTCACCGCCATCGAGTAGTTAACCAGACTTTTGAAAAATTTTGACATTTTCTTACACAAGTTTCGCTAGACATTTAAGAGACTACCCCGCGTTACTCGTTGCATACGGTGTTCTCTTAATATGAAAAAAAGTACCTCAACTTCACCGTAACTTTAGATCAGGGCGTCACCTTATTGGAATTGATAATCTTACATGATTTATGTTTGAATTTGCTAGATCAATTTGTTTTGGTGGGTGAAAATTATCTATGCATATATTTATATGAATTGTTCAAATACATCGTTCTCGTCCTCATAATCCTTCCTTCAGAATGATCCCCAAGATGTTTCTTTAACTTACTGCTGCAAAAACAATTTGCCAACATTTCATATATTCTACAAATTACCTTAATAAAGTGCACAAGAAAAGAGAAAAAAAATATAATAACACGTGTAATATGACAATGTTTATCAAAATACAGAAATCTTAATTTAAGAATACTCCAAGGGAATATTATTGACTTGAGAGCTCCTACTCAGTTAATAATTTTCTTTAAGGCATTTGAATTCATAAAGGCATATTTCTTCTTACATAATATCTGTATGTGAGTGTTATTTTTACTTATGTATAACATAATTTGATATTTAAACAAAAAAAAATATTTATTGTTTAGTTTGGAATTCCTGTCAAAGTTTATCAAAAATAAAATTTTTATAGGGGTTGCTGTGTCGGATAACGTTTTGATCAAAAAGTCAATAAAAGCATCAGAATGTATTATCAAAGTACTGGTGTCATTCCCACAAAATCGATGAAAGATATTCTATAATTGTAGAATAGAAAGCTAAAACACACGTTTATACAAATAGTAAGAGCAATTGAAATTTCAACATTTATTAAAACAAATCAAAACATGAAACTACAATGTTCACAATCACTCAACAAGCTACAAAACTTATATACACACACAAAAAAAAAATCATACATCCATCTTGTTTTATACCACATATCTTTGGCCTTCTCGGGGGCTACTCACATATAAAGTAAAAAACAAATTTCTGGGTTGACACCATCAGGAAATTGTTACGTAACCATAGAAACCTGGGTTGACACCATCAGGTTGTGAGTAAGGGTACCCGGGTTGACACCATCGGGTTTTAATGAATGGAACCTGGGTTGACACCATCAGGTTTAATTTTTGAGATACCTGGGTTGACACCATCAGGTTTACATGAAATGACCCGGGTTGACACCAGCGGGTAGCTATATTTAATTAATTACATAATGCAGAAAAATTGATCTGAATTGGGGGTAAACAGGCCAAAATGAATGAACATCATATTATAAGTGGGTATTAAGAATTGATGTGAGTGAATGCCCCCAAGAAGATAAATGAAGAACAGAAAATCTTAAGATGAGCACATTTTTGTTTGTGCAGACTGAATAGTATTTTGATTGATTCTAATATATCTTGCATAACAGTCTGAATTCCAGCGACCTAGTGACTGAATTAACATGCATTCTCTGTAAGCACCAAAAAAATTACTATAGGGGGAAACGACATCTCTCCGATTTTGATGAAATTTGCACCACAGGTGCATCTTGGCACAAAACTAGCAAATATGGTGTTAGAAGTTTCACACGTGCACCCGGTTGCCATGGAGATGGATCCATTGAATTTGGCCATGTTTGGCCCTTTTTGACCAAATGAAAACATGAAAATTGAGGAAATGTAAATGAATTTTTATCTTTACGTAGTAAACTCAAACATAAATCATTGTATCATAAGAAAACATCAACTTTTTAGGTATACAGGGCATATAATCGGTTATTCCAGAATTATTCCCACTCTAAGAAAAAGGTCCTGTAAAATGACCTAGTTTCTGAAAATGTGTAAAATGGGAAATTTGGTATTTTTTGAGAACTTTAAGGTTAAATAAAAAAAATTGTCTATGGAAAATTTTCAAATCTTATGTGTGTTTTCATACTTCAGAATTAGGAGTGTCACCTCATGAAAAAATTGGAGTGGGATCTCAATACTATTTTTAGTAACATGTATCTATAAATAGACATATTTCAGAAAAATCTAAAAAATCAATTTTGGGCAGAGTTTAAGATGCCATTGTTAGGTATTTAAGAAATATACTGTAAAAGTCAATATGTTAATGACAGAAACTGGACACCAATAACTACTATGCATATTATTTGAAGGGAGTTCCGTTTTCTATTTATAGCTTCAAATGCCGTAAAATAGACATGTCTCATAATATGTGTAAAAATGACTATTTTCTATCATTTAGAAGCTCCACTAAAACATAAGTGATAAACATACTGCTCTCACCAATATTTCATCAATTAGAACAAGGGATAATACAATAACTCACACATTATTGAGGATAGGCTCTCATTTCTATAAATAGTACAAATGTCTAAAAATAGACACATAGGAAATTAATGACGAAATGTAGATTTTTGCACTATTTCTCACATTAGAGATGAACAATTTGCATACTCACTGTCATTAACTGTAACTGACATAATGTGACTGACAAGTACAGGAGAGCATTAACTGAAATGCAGAATAATAAGCGGAGGTTTCCATTTCTATTTATAGTAACAATTGTTTTAAAATAGACATTCTACAAATTATCAAGAAAATGTAGAATTTTGCACTATTTTCTCACATTAGGGATGGACAATTTGCAGACAAACTGCTATTAACTGTTAATAACATAAGGGGAACAACAAGTACAAGAAAGCATTAACTGAAATGCAGAATAATAAGCGGAGGTTTCCATTTCTATTTATAGTAACAAACGTTTTATAACTATTGAAAAAATGTAGAATTTTGCACTGTTTCTCACATTAGGGATGGACAATTTGCAGACTAACTGCTATTTACTGTTATTGACATCAGGTGACCGACAAGTACAAGAGAGCATTAACTGAAATGCAGAATAATCAGTGGAGGTTTCAATTTCTATTTATAGCAACACATGTGTAAAAATAGACAAATTGCAAAAAATCAAGGGAATATAGATTTTCGCACACTAGGAATGGACATTTTGCCGATTAACTTTTACTAACTGTTATTGACAAAAGGTGAATGACAAGAACAGGAAAGCATTTACTGAAATGCACAATAATCAGCGGAGGTTTCGATTTCTATTTATAGCAACATACGTGTATGTCTAAAAATAGACATATTGGAAATAATCAAGGAAATATAGATTTTTGCCCTATTTCTAACATAAGGAATGCTCAATTTGCAGACTAACTATTATTAATGTAATGATTGACAAGAACAAGAGAGCATTAGCTGAAATGCAAAATAATCTGCGGAGATTATTTCCATTTCTATTTATAACACCAAATACTTAAAAATACATATGTCTCAGCATATGAGAAAAAATGAAATTTTCCCCCAATTACAACCTTCACAAAAATATTTAAAATAACATTGCTCTCTAAAATATGCCATCTTCAAGTACATGTGGTCATACAACACTTCACACATTAATGAGCATTGGGTCTCCATTTTTTATTAGGTCACCTGAGTCACTCAGGTGACCTATTACTATCCGTTCTCGTCCGTCGGCGTGCGTCGTGCGTTAACATTTGAACATTTTTAGCTTCTTCTCTGAAATCGCTTAACCAATTTCGACCAAATTTGGCATATAGCATCTATCGGTGAAGGGGAACAAAAATTGTGAAATTCATGGTCCCTGCCCCCCTGGGGCCTGAGGGGTGGGGCTAAAACCACCAAAAATAATGCAATCTTTAAAAATCTTCTTCTTTACTCCTGGACATCAAGCAGTCAAACTGTTGGCAACATTGTAATAAGCATTGAGCCCTCTACCAAAATTGTGAAATTCATGGCCCCAGGGTTAGGGGTTCTGGCCCCAGGGTGGGGCTATATAGATCATATAGTGAAAGTGCCTTATTTCTTTGAAAATCTTCTTCTCTGCTCCTGGGTATTAAATAAGGTAACTAAGTACATAGTTATGATGAGCAAGAGTGCCTCTTCCCAAATTGTGAAATTCATGGCCCCAGGGTCAGGGGTTCTGGTGTTAGGGTGGGGCTCTATTGATTATATAGTGAAAATGCATTGATTCTTTGAAAATCTTCTTCTCTGCTACTGGAGATTATGTAAACAAACTAAGTACATAGTTATGATGAGCAAGAGTGCTTCTTCCAAAATTGTGAAATTCATGGCCCCAGGGTCAGGGGTTCTGGCCCCAGGGTGGGGCTATATAGATCATATTGTGAAAGTGCATTATTTCTTTGAAAATCTTCTTCTCTGCTCCTGGGTATTAAATAAAGTAACTAAGTATATAGTTATGATGAGCAAGAGTGCCTCTTCCCAAATTGTGAAATTCATGGCCCCAGGGTCAGGGGTTCTGGTGTTAGGGTGGGGCTCTATTGATTATATAGTGAAAATGCATTGATTCTTTGAAAATCTTCTTCTCTGCTACTGGAGATTATGTAAACAAACTAAGTACATAGTTATGATGAGCAAGAGTGCTTCTTCCAAAATTGTGAAATTCATGGCCCCAGGGTCAGGGGTTCTGGTGTTAGGGCGGGGCTCTATCGACTATATAGTGAAAATGCATTAATTCTTTGAAAATCTTCTCCTCTGCTCCTGGGCATTAAGGTGAGAAACTAAGTACATAGTTATGATGAGGAGATGGGTCCCTTCCAGAATTGTGAAAGCCATGGCCCCTGGGTCAGGCGTTCTGGTGTTAGGGCAGGGCTCTATTGATTATATAGTGAAAATGCATTAATTCTTTGAAAATCTTCTTCTCTGCTCCTGGGTATTAAATAAAGTAACTAAGTACATAGTTATGATGAGCAAGAGTGCCTCAACCAAAATTGTGAATTTCATGGCCCCAGGGTCAGGGGTTCTGGTGTTAGGGTGGGGCTCTATTGATTATATAGTGAAAATGCATTGATTCTTTGAAAATCTTCTTCTCTGCTACTGGAGATTATGTAAACAAACTAAGTGCATGGTTATGATGCATAAGGATGCCTTTTTAAAAATTGTGAATTTCATGGCCCCAGGGTCAGGGGGTCCGGTGTTAGGGTGGGGCTCTATTGATTATATAGTGAAAATGCATTGATTCTATGAAAATCTTCTTCTTTGCTACTGGAGATTATTTAAACAAACTAAGTGCATGATTATGATAGGCAAGGATGCCTCTTCCAAAATTTTTAAATACATGGCCTCAGTTTTTGGGGTTCTTGAGGAGGGGGGGGGGAGGGGGGCTCTATTGATTATATAGTGAAAATGCATTAATTCTATTAATTAATCATTAACTAATCCTGTCTGCTCCTTAGTGTTGAGCTAATAAATAAATTGCTTAGCTATGATGAAGATGGGAGCTTCGAACAGAATTTTTAAATCTTGTGGTCCTATGGTCAGGGGTTCTGGCATAACGAGGAAGGGGGGGGGGGCTTTTGATAATATAGTGGAAAAGTGTTAATTCTTTGAAGTCCATAGTTATGATGATGAGGGTAACTCTTCCAAATTTGTAAATTTCTTGACCTTTGGTCTTGGGTTCTGGTGTTAGGGTAAGGCTTTGTTGAATCTGTATTGAAAATGCATTGTACCTGTGAAATTCTTCTCTGCTTCTGGGCATATCGAAAGCAAACTGAGTAAAAGTTTAAATGATATAAGTAAGCGTATTTCTACCAGATTTTTGAACATCTGGACAATTTGTCTAAGCATTCTGGTCCTGGACAGGCTCTATTAATTTGTATTCTACTGAGAGAAGTTATTTCCCTTTTCCATTCACCTTTGATAATTAATCACTGTAAATAATGTATTTGAAAGATTAATAGAATAAGATAATTATGCAAGAATGTTTATCGTATAATTCAAAAAGTACTTTCTTAGTTTTAATAATCAGGCAGACCTGTAAGTAATAGATAAATAAAAATGAGACAAAAATAACTTATCTTATTAAAAGTTCTTCAAAGACCATAAGAGAGGTCAATGCTAGAGGTCTTAACATGGGTTTAAAAATAGTACAGAAGCACTAATAGTTTGTTAATAGTCTGCTTGGTGATAATATTAAGTGGGGGACAGATTAGAACTTAAGTGAATACTAGACTAATTATTTTGTTGATCCTGATCTTCCTACTTCTCTTGCCTTAGAGCAACAAAGCTTCATCTGTCAGTGTATTTAACTTCTAAATTGTTGTATTATACTCAGGTGACCGTTAAGGACCTTGGGCCTCTTGTTACAGTAACAATAAACTAAAAATATATGTAATGTATATATAGGTACTCCCATGGTTTGTGCTTGAATATGATTTTTATCCAACCAGTTGTGTGTTTTTTTTACTCCCGAGCCTTGGCGAGGGGATAAAAAACTCACAACGAGTTGGATAAAATTCATATCCAACCACAAATCATGGAAGATTCTTTTTATCCTATGTTTTATACATCACAATCAATGTTTTACACTGTTTTTATATAGGAATCTACTTCATTTTACTTCTCCACTCTCACGCTAAAACCCATTGTGACATCATATCTGTGGGATATCAAAAAAAATATATATATATATATATCCAATGAGTGATATCCACGGGATAAAGGGGTAAACATGTGAAAGATCACCTATTTTTCGTGGGGTAATTTTTTCGTGGTTCGAAGAAAAAATTAGTTGGTAAAGGGGATTTTCTTTGTGAATGAAGAAAAGCTTTTATATTGTTTAAAAGTTGTTATATATTTGAATTTTACATTTCGTGGAGGACATATATTTGTGGGTCTCTCTATGCCATAAAACACCCACAAAATTTAATGATTTTACAGTATCTCAAATAATTTAGAAAATGTAGGTTCTTGCACTATTTCAAACGTAAGAAGTGGAAAATTAGCAGATTTTCTGTCATAATCATATTGTGACTTACAAGAACTAGTCAATATTAATTGCAATAAACATCAACAAAAACATACCCCTCAGCATATAAGGAACCAGAAGTCTCTGACGAGACTGTAGCTCTACTGGTATTTATTTAACAAAGGAAGAGAAAAGTAGCTAGGCAGTAGCACTTGGACTTGACAGTAAATAAAAAAAATATCCTTATTTAGCCTCTTTTTGTGTCAAAATTGCAGTTGGTCAAAAACTGTAATAGGAGTAGCCTTTGAAAAAATTGACCAAAATTTCCTTTTTTTTTGGTTACCATGACAACACTGTTATCTAAAACTAAAATCTGATGTACAGGATTATGTGTCTTAGTGCAGTCTTCTTGGAATCAGATCAAAGCTGTAGAAGAAGCTTCCTGATAGAATTTGACAGGAATTTTTAATTTTAGTCACCATAGCAATGCCATTCATCAAAACCAAAAACTGATAAGCAGAGTGATGTATCTCAGTGTAGTCTACTTGTATATAATTTAATTTTGGTTTTTACTCGTCATTTGATTGGATAAAAAACTAGTTTATACCATATAACCTGTGTTGCCTAGGTCACACTGACTTAAGTCAAAAACGTATCGAACCGCTTGATGTTACATTTTAATTATGTACAATTTGAAGGAGAAATTGTTATTTTTTCACACTTAGTGCCCGCTGAAATATGGCTGAAATAATGTCGCCTTGGCATTAAACAGTAGTCAATCAATCAATTACACTTGGTGATGGAAAATTACATAATAAGGAATGAATTTAATAGCTACCTAGTTTTAAAAGTAAGTCCCAATAAAGCTAAAAATGACAATTTTACATCAATTAGAAAATTCGTAGAAATTTTTTTTTACAGTTCTACCAATCTCCACTATATTTCACACATTATTGAGAATGGGTTCTCCATTCTTTTTATAGAAACATGTCTAAAATAGACATATTGTGATATTTTGAAAGATGAACATGCTCAGTATTTTAGACATTATCTGACAAAGTTTGATGATGCTAACCCAATTAGTACCCGAAATATTTAATTAGAGTGATATAAATTGAAAAGTAGGTCATTGTGACCTACTTTTCAGTTGACGTTTTTCGAGGACCCAAGATGCATCAACTTACAAAGTTTTATGATCATAGGCCTTAAAATGTCCAAATTATGCCTCTAAAACGCTTTGAAATCGAATGCCTGCAAAGTTCAAAAAGTAGGTCACTGTGACCTCCTTTTTAATAAATATGTTTTATGGCCCCAAGATGCATCATCTTGCAAAATTTAATGATTCTAAACCTCTCAGTATTCTAATTAATGACCTTAATTGTTTTGAAAGAGATTAGCCATAAAATTCAAAAAGTAGGTCAAGGTGACCTACTTTTTAGTCAACATACTCCGAGGACCCAAGATACATCAACTGACAAAGTTTAATGATCATAGGCCTTAAATTGTTTAAAATATGCCTCTAAATCATTTTGAAAAAGAATGGCCGCAAAATTTAAAAAGTAGGTCATCGTGACCTACTTTTGAGTCAACATGATATGAGGTCCTCAGATGCATCAACTGACAAGATTTGATGATCCATGTCCGTATAGTAAGCAAAATATCAACATTTTAATATAATGTAATTTTTGGTCAACTTTGAAGTGACCTTGAGACCATGCCCTTTGCCCCAGGGTGATTCCCCGTGCAAATTTTAATTAACTTCATATTCTCATCCTTTTGTGTAAGTTTGGTAATAATCTGCCCAGTGGTTCTTGAGAAGAAGATTTTTTAGCAATCAGTACTTTTGTTTCTATTTTCCTAATTATCTCCCCTTGTTTAAGGGTCACAACCCTAGTTTTAGTAAAAATGGGAGCTGTTGGGCCAAGGATACCCTGTAACAAATTTGACAATAATTGGCAAAGGGGTTCTTGAGTTATGGCCCATATTCTATAAAGTTTACGCACACCGCACAAATGGCCATAGCATTAGCTCTTTGAGCCTTTGGCTCAGAAGAGCTAAAAATGGAAACCTCCACCGATTATTCTACTTTTCAGTTAATGCTGTGTTTTTCTTGTCGAATACATAACCTTTATAACAATAAGTCTGCAGATTTCCCATCCCTCATGTGAGAAATAGTGCAAAATTCTACATTTCCTCTATGATATGATTTTTAAAACATTTGTTACTATAAATAGAAATGGAAACCTCCACTGAATGTACTGTATTTCAGTTAATGCTGTCCTGCTCTTGTCAGTAGCCTTATGTCAACAACAGTAAATAACAGTTAGTCTGCAAATTGTCCATCCCTAATGTGAGAAACAGTGCAAAATTCTACATTTCTTTAATAATTTGCAGTATGTCTATTTTTAAACATTTGTTACTATAAATAGAAATGGAAACCTCCGCTTATTATTCTGCATTTCAGTTAATGCTTTCTTGTACTTGTTGTTCCCCTTATGTTATTAACAGTTAATTAAATAGCAGTTTGTCTGCAAATTGTCCATCCCCAATGTGAGAAAATAGTGCAAAATTCTACATTTTCTTGATAATTTGCAGAATGTCTATTTTTAAACAATTGTTACTATAAATAGAAATGGAAACCTCCGCTTATTATTCTGCATTTCAGTTAATGCTCTCCTGTACTTGTCAGTCACATTATGTCAGTTACAGTTAATGACAGTGAGTATGCAAATTGTTCATCTCTAATGTGAGAAATAGTGCAAAAATCTACATTTCGTCATTAATTTCCCATGTGTCTATTTTTAGACATTTGTACTATTTATAGAAATGAGAGCCTATCCTCAATAATGTGTGAGTTATTGTATTATCCCTTGTTCTAATTGATGAAATATTGGTGAGAGCAGTATGTTTATCACTTATGTTTTAGTGGAGCTTCTAAATGATAGAAAATAGTCATTTTTACACATATTATGAGACATGTCTATTTTACGGCATTTGAAGCTATAAATAGAAAACGGAACTCCCTTCAAATAATATGCATAGTAGTTATTGGTGTCCAGTTTCTGTCATTAACATATTGACTTTTATAGTATATTTCTTAAATACCTAACAATGGCATCTTAAACTCTGCCCAAAATTGATTTTTTAGATTTTTCTGAAATATGTCTATTTATAGATACATGTTACTAAAAATAGTATTGAGATCCCACTCCAATTTTTTCATGAGGTGACACTCTTAATTCTGAAGTATGAAAACACACATAAGATTTGAAAATTTTCCATAGACAATTTTTTTTATTTAACCTTAAAGTTCTCAAAAAATACCAAATTTCCCATTTTACACATTTTCAGAAACTAGGTCATTTTACAGGACCTTTTTCTTAGAGTGGGAATAATTCTGGAATAACCGATTATATGCCCTGTATACCTTAAAAGTTGATGTTTTCTTATGATACAATGATTTATGTTTGAGTTTACTACATAAAGATAAAAATGCATTTACATTTCCTCAATTTTCATGTTTTTATTTGGTCAAAAAGGGCCAAACATGGCCAAATTCAATGGATCCGTCTCCATGGCAACCGGGTGCACGTGTGAAACTTCTAACACCATATTTACTAGTTTTGTGCCAAGCTGCACCTGTGGTGCAAATTTCATCAAAATCGGAGAGATGTCGTTTCCAAGATTTTTTGGTGCTTACAGAGAATGCATGTTAAATGATCTTGAATAACAAACAGCAGCTGCTGTAGTGGCCGCTCCAATTCTGAAGGAATGGCCGGAGTACCTAGTATCATCAAAACCTAACCTAGATAGGACTTGTTTTACATGAAGTAGGAAAAAATTTCTAGACATTGGATTACCTTCATCATCAACAAATAGAGCAGCATTGTTTTGTGTGTGGCAAACATTTAACCGACCCTCCAGATACGTTTTCATAGTTTTAACTGGCTTTAAATGAGAATTTTCAAACACCTTTATATCAATCCCCTGTCGAAAAGGATCCGTTTTAGAGGAATTAAGTTTCAAGGTATAAAAAGAATAATCTTCTGCAAGAGTGACATCATGTATGGTTAAATAATCTTTCTGCTTATGAAAATTTGTTGTAAATTCTCCACATCTCAGAAAGCCAAAGAAAGCCATTTTACACATACAACTCAACATGAGATCTAACCAGGGTGAAAAAACACCTTTGTCAAGACAATTACATATTTGAAACAAAATTGAGAAAGTGATAGGTAATCTTTTCGATATGCTGTTGCATTGTTGCTTTTTAACACCTCGCAGAACACAGTGAACTCTCTCAAAGTCTTTAAACATAAGGCATTGGCCCTCTTTCAGATAGAAAAAACGTATACCTGCGAGGTAAGTTTTGATTGTTTCGTGCCTTAATTTCAAATGAAGTTGACAATGTGTAACAAGATATACAAGTATATCTTCATTTATGACAGGCAGTTTACCTAAAGCTAGACACACGCGAGACATAACAAGAAATTTTTTAAAACATTCTAATCCCGCTCTGTAGGTTGCTGCTGTGCTAGGCTCAATGGAGGCATTAACTAAACGTTCAGCATGCTTCTTTAGATCAAGATGAGGTTCGAATATTCTGGGCATGGTTTCGGCAGAGGGTCCGCTTGTGGGGCAATACGACGGAAATGATCCATCTGAAATCGAGACAAGGCATCAGCAATGCAGTTTGTAATTCCACTTATATGACGAGCATAGATAATAAAATTGTTTGTTGCTGAACGCATGAACTTCATGATTAAGGGAATTTTCGAACGACCTTTATTAATAATATGCACTGTAGCTTCATTGTCACAATTGAAAACAATTTTTAAACCAGACCACTGTGCCCCCCAAAGAACGGATGCAACAACGATTGGGTACAGCTCAAATAAGGCCATTGACAAAGATTTGTCCTCCGAGATCAGTTCTTCTGGGAAATAACCTTGAAACCACTAATTGTTGAAAAAACCTCCAAAAGCGGTATCTGTGGCATCGGTGAACAGATGTAGATCAGCAGCATCAGTAGTAGCATTGTCCATGAAAAAAGATCTACCATTCCATCCCTTTAGGAATTTGGACCACATATGCAGGTCAAGTCTACATTCAGAATTCAAAGTGACATGATGATGTAATTCCCGAGTTTTGTATAAAAGTTTGATCAGGTATGACACAAATGATCTTCCCGGAAGAACCACACGACTGGCGAAGTTTAGGTGATCTAGAAGACTAAGAAGTTCACGTTTTGTGCAGGATTTCCGGTTTGAGAACTGTTGTACTAATTCAGATATTCTGATTAGTTTTTCTTCCGGTAACCTGGCCTCCATCCTTACGGCATCAAGGGTAATGCCTAGGTATTCAAGTTCTGTACACGGTCCCATTGTTTTCTTAATTGATAAGGGAATACCAAGTCTAGCAAATACGTGGTGTATCGAGGCCATTGTTCGCATTGCTTCAAAGTCTGTCGGATCGATCGTTAAGAAATCATCAAGTAAATGAAGAATATTTGAAATCCCATAATCATTCTCGAAAATCCAGCACACCACAGATGATAGATAGTCGAATATTTTGGGGCTTGACCGACTACCAAAGACTAGTCTTGTGAAGAAATAATATTTGTTGTTGTTTTTAATGCCATGATATGGCCACAAAGAAGGGTGGATCGGAATGAGTTTGAAGGCGTCCATAATATCAGCTTTGCAGAGCCAGCTTCCCTTACCCATTGATTGAATTATTTGAATCGCATGGTCAATAGTCACATATTGGAGAGAAAAATCCTCTTTGTTTATAAGATCATTTAAACTTGGGTGGTCCAGACTGTTATGTGGTGCCGACATATCGACTATCAAACGTTTCTTTTTTGAATATTTACTTTCAGCTAGTCCTATGGGGTTAAATCTGTAAATTTCAAAAGGTACCTCGTCATATGGTCCAATGAGGTAACCTTTCTCCAGTTCTTCAGCTATCAAACGGTTAATGGTGAGAGGATCCTTTCGCCGATAAAAGATTTTTACATTCCAATGGTTCAGTTGGCAGGGGGTAAATTTCCGTATGAAAACCTTCTACTAATCCTTTAATAAGAAAGTTTGCAAACTCTTGATCTGGATATTGTTTTAATTCCTCCCGCAGCACAGATATTTTAATAGTCGATGGTACACATATCTTAAGGTTAACCCCGCTTAATGTCTCCAGCGGGGAGATTGCCCCGTTTTTTGAGACACTACACTTTTGAGCTGTATGTCCCCCCTTGCAGTGTAAACAGACATGGGCGTTTTCACATCTTGCATTGATACAACTTTTCTCAGAGTTAAAATTGTTACAAATTTCCTTGTCTTGGAACACTATTCGAGGTCGACCTTGGCTGTCGGACTCCCGTCCCTTCTTTTGAGTAGGTCCTGCCGAATAGTTCTTAATCGAAAACATTGGACAAAAAGCAGCAGTATGGTTGATACTGCTACAGACATAACATGCGGAGGGTCGCAAGTTTGCAAATATATTGCAGAAAAGGGTATTATCATTCACCGACAAGTCTACAGGAATGTTGGAATATCTCAAATGAGCAGCTGCCCGAGCCGAAAAGGTTTTATGGTACTCATAAAATCCTTTACCACCATAATGATTGGACATGTCAACAATGTCTCTTTCATACAAGTCTAACTCTTCTCTTCTTTGAGGGTAAGTTTGGCACATAATGTTCTTATAAATGCCGAAAGCATATATAAATTCCGAAATTGAAAGGTTTTTGTGAAGTCGGGGGTCTTTCTCCGGTTTCTCATCCGCGTGTTTCCCTTCTTTTTCCCTGGCCGCGATGGCGTTTGTCGTCGGAATTAAAAGCTGCGCCAAATTTACATCTTTCCCTTCAATTATGGCCTTTCGTAGTGAAGGGGGCACAGTTTCTATGAAGGGCAACGACTCTACGGCGTAACCGAACCTAGTTTTTTGTAGAAAACCAGACCTACCCTCATTGCTCTGCCATGGACTTGGACTCTTTAGCGCTGACTGTAGCGTGTATCCTTCGTCCGCAGTTTGTGTCCGTTCTGGAGCCGGGAGCTGAACTGGATTCCCCGCCGCAGCTGATATTGTAGAGGGATTTGAATTCACTTTGTTGGAAACAATCCTAAGCCCCTCCTTCAACTTCGTGACTGTATTAGTAAGTGTTGAGATCGATTGTAGAAGTGTTTCCAAGTTTTTGGTGCCGCCATCTTGGTTGTTTGAAGAGGAACTCGAGCCCGAGCTCAATTCCACAGGGCGATCCTCCGATGAAACATTATCACTGCCACTGAGAAGTTCTTTAACTTTTTTGACCAAGACACTCTTTTTGTCCGATTGACGAAAGGATATATTGTTCTTATTCAGTTCCTCCCGTAACTTAGACACAGTCCAGTTCTCAAGTCTTGTTAGGTCGTACGGGGCACTGGATGAGCTTGCCCGTGCGCTGCGGCGTTTGGCCATAGTTTAAGTCACAGGTTATCACAGGAAAAACAATCAGTTCAGTTAAAAATAGTTGATCAACGATTTCTAATAAAACAGTACACCATAAAAGATCTAATCCATCTAATAATAACGAAACAAAAACACAGAGCATGTACATCCAGCTTAAGATAAAACAAAGGAATAGTGATGGTAAGTGAAATTTGATGCGGATTGGTTTTCAAGTTCACGTGACTACTGACCACCAGTGATGTTGCTGCCCATTACGCAATGCATTACCTAATATGGTCAAGGAATACTGGTTCCTAAGACAGATAATCTTTTCTAAGAATAGCCTCCTTATCAAAGTGTCAAACAATGATTGTTTTATGAGTTCAATTAGATGTACACAACTTTACATAGACTAGAATGTAATCCTTACTACATGGCTCTATACAATGAATGTTTAACCAATGCTTCGTTAATAGTACCAACAACATATATAGAGAGATAATGTTATGTACACATGAAAACTAATTAGTTATGTATAAACAAAATTTTTTCTTACAAAAAAATATCATTCTAAATCTACTTGATTTTTTATATATAGCATATATTGATATTTCCTAATCCTTAATTTTTCATGCTTTATATTTTAATGGGTAGAGATAAAATAAAAAAAAAAATACGGCGTAGCTTTACAATTTGAAGTAAAAGACAATCTTTATGGTCATTACTTTTCTGAGCGCTAACAATTTAAAAAGAAATTTATGGTCAATATAAAAGTTGTATACAGAATACAATTTCCTTTTCCTTCCAATCAAGAACTTAAGAAAAATAATGACCGACAATTTTTGAAGGGAGTTTGGTTATTACTACTTTTGAAAAGCTGCCGGATTGCTCAGCGCTCGAGTGATCACCATTTTCTGGCGTGGAATTGCTACTAAGTTGTGTTGGTGTTGTTTTTAAAGTATTTCCCGATCTTACTTTTAGGTCATCTATCATAGGCAAGGATAAACAATAGTGTTTGATCCCGCATGAAAAGTGATATGAAAATGAAATATACTGGGACCTTTTTCTATTAACAAAACTATCTAATATAAAGGACTCTAAGTGTTTAAATCTAAGTGGGTTATTAAATATTCATGCAACAATCTTATGTAAAATTTTACGTTAATTGTATCTTCAAATTTTGTTATATATAATTTACTTGTAAAACCTCTGATTTTCGAAACGTTTACTCTTGTAACTGTTATGAATAATACAAACTACCAAGACACTTTTTAAAAAGTCGTAAGTTTTGGAATTAACTTTAATTTAGTAGCGGGGCTTACGCCAAAACTTTTTCGGGTGTAGGTTGTATTTCACAAAGCGGTGTAAATCTAGTCATATACGATACACTTTGTCTGTGGCTTAAGTTCTTGACAAGGCAGCATTGCACCTGCGCAAGTGCTGAATCAACAAAAAAAAAATGCAAGACATGTATTTCTAACAATATCTATCATAGACCTATCTTTAAATCTGGTATTTATGTGTTGGATTGTTCAAACACTTAAAATTTGGTTCTCCATTATACCAGTAAAGAATAAAGACTTTTTTCAGATTTACATTTTGTTTTAAACATTTGTCCTTCTAAACAGAGAAAAATGGGATAGTGGCGAGATTTTCGAAGTTAGGTTCATAGTAATCTTTAAATTCATTTTAAATACGTTGATCATTATGCATGAGAAATCTATGTGCGGAAATCCTCAAATTCATGTAATACTTTTTGTCTGATTTTTGGATGGCTACAAAAAAATCTATGCCTAAAAACAAGATTTATCTTAAATACATATATTATCAAGCCATCGGCATAACATGTAAGAAATATAAAGCATAAGAATTACTTTTTCTAGTTTAAATCATGCAAAAAGAGTATTGGACTTACATATAGTTAGCAATTTATGTCTTTTTCTTCCCAGAGAGGTCTTATTTTTTCATGGCAGTAATTATACACATGGCGGATAACTACAGGTACTTCAAAATTCATTTTTTTTTCTAAAAACGAAAATAAACGTTTAGTTGTTTGCGTTAATAAAGTTAACATAATGGAATCATCAAAAAATACAAATAAAAACAAAAAATAAGTATTTTAAGGATAACAATTTAGGGATTCTCAACAAGCTTTATAGGCAAGAGGATTGTTTATGCCCAACCCACATCTTGGATACATTTTACTTTATTCTTTCTATATCAAAGTAATTTGCATGGTTTATGCATGAAATATGTCCATTCATTAATAGATGCAATAAATGAAACATCAAAAATCAAAACTATTACTGGGGTGTTTTTTATAACATCTTCATTTTCAGCATAAAATTAGTATTTGTGAAACATTTGAAATTGACATGGCAAGGAGGATAACTCTGATTTCCTTCTCAATCCTATGATGTGATTTATACCCAATTGAGCAGATTTGGTTATTTTTTTTACCGCAAATTCCTATTCTAGACTGTCCATTGGCTAGTGAACACTTTGTTCAATCAAATTCATTAAGTTTTACTATCCACCACTCCCTCTCATCCCAAGCCCTCTTTTTCCACCTTCTTGTCATGACATATTACATGTACATATTACGAATTACTGGTTGAATTTGGAATTTATTCATGTCAGCAACGTAAAAGAAAATATATATACTCTAATTCAACTATAAGTAATTCAAGAAGATTGTTAATACCCCACCTACAAGTGTATTACTTTGCTTAACAAGATGTTCATAACAACATTAATATGTTTTTTGTATACAATTCCTGTAATTTTTATTAATATTTTGTTTGAATTGTGCATGAAATTCAAAAACTTATCTAAATGATCTTTAAAATGCAATAAATGACAGATTTCAATTCATATATTCTTAATTTTCCTTTTACAAGTTAAAAGAAAAAATTCCTTACATGTATAATCGTCATGCATATAATAAACCACTGAAATATGTTGAAGATTTACAAACTACATTTGTTTCACATTTTTGAATATAGATAAAAAGATAAATTTTTCCTCTAATATTGATGATATTTTTTATTTACGTACGTTTACTTAAGGTTTAAAGTCATCCATCTGTAAATACATTTTACATAAACCCTTGCATATATCGATTGTTGTTGTATATGAATAGTGGTGATGTTTGATCAATAAAGAAAACTAAAACTTCCTCCCAAAATTCTCATTTAAAAAAAATGGAAACCAAACATGAAATCCAGGTAAAGTCAATAATCTTTATAGAGACTTTTACATGGGCCACCATAATAAACGTGGAAATTCAGTAAAATACAAATATGCGTGGCACGATTTCTAAGATCATCTACAAAGATGCACCTGATTCTAAAAGGCAGCATGTGTTATAGATACTTATAATCCCTACTATTTACAATTGCAAAAGCAAGTTATACAGTGAGCACATTTTTGCAAATAGAAAAAAAAAAACTTTAAAGGGGGCAAAAGATGTTCGAAGTGCAAGTTGAAAGATAATTCAAACTGTATTAAACGACAGCTCCCTTACAATGTATTGACATTGTATTTATTGTTCTAATATATACATTTGTGGTATCTCTCTATTATATAAACATACAGAGAGCAAATATCTTCATACCTTTATGAAGTTTTTCAAAGGTCATAGGTCATTACGTGACCTAATCACACAGCGCAGTAATATCTACATAAAAAGACTTACTCTACTTAGCAATATAGCATGCTTTTCATGTATAAAAATGTACAAAATACGCAAGTAAAATAATAATCATTTTATTTACAATGTAAACGATTATTTAATACACTTCTTGATCGATTTTACATAGAGAATAGAAGACTACAATGTACGTGTTATAAGTTTCATGTCTGAGCTGCAGTCTCAACGTTTACCCTTATATGTTTTGTAGATCTCTGAATGCTATAATATTTTTTTATTAAACTTTACTCACAATAAATTTGAAAATCTGTTGGAAAATATCTATGTATAATGCAATCACACCACAAACAGCTGACAAACACTTCAGTATGCAAACCTCCATCATCGAAATCGTTGTCTTAACTGTGTAAGCTGTCGCCAGTGTCTCCGTGTCAATATCATGATAAACATGCCTTACTGAAATCGTAGATTTTATGTTTTTGATCAAATGTCATACTTGATTTTAAGTTAACTGTTCAGGACAAATGTCTCCATCCATCCCTTTCCGACCGAAATTCCACCAACAAGTAGCCTTTCACAGAATATTCCTTTCAAAACAGAATCTTTTGCCAGATGAATTTTAAGCGTAACCGCTTTTCAAGCCGATTTACACCTTGCATAATTTGTCAAAATCTACGACGAACAGTTAGTGCACTATATATATTTGATTATATTCGATTGTCCGTCTCAAATGTATATATAAGTAATAAATAACAAGTTTCTTCACTGGGAAATGAAGTGGGTCGGTAGTTGATCAAATCTTCTGAGAAGACCATCAGCCTTCACAGGATTTGATCACGTGACCGACCCACTTCATTTCCCAGAGAAGTTTTTAATCTTGTTATTTATTTCTTAGATAACATTTTCTGTATTACACCTGCTGAAGGAGTGGAGATCATATTTTTAGCTGTTTCATAAGATTTACTTTGCGTGAGCTTTTAACCAAATATTCGAAATTGATGCTACAATATTACAAATGGTTTAAGTTTGATTCTCCTTGAGCTTTCCACTTTTGCATAATATTTTTTGTTGAACTCTCTCATTACTAAAAATAAATAAATAAAAGAAGAACCTTACTATCTGTTAGTACAATAGAACATGTACCCTTTATAAGAGAAATTGTAAAAAAAAAAAAAAAAAAAAAGTCAAACACAGATATAAAATAACATTTTAAGGGATATTTAAGGGATTTCACACTGAAAAATACTGAAAAAGGTTATTTCAAATAACTTTGAGAAATAAACTGCTGATTACATAATTGGCGTAAAAGTACAATCTATCATTAAGTCAAATGCTGACTGAAGTTTTTAATACTAATTGTTAGGCCATTACATATACC